TCTTAGAGCCAGTTTAGTTGTACATGACTCATTCTTGGATGACGAAATAGCGTCCTTCTATTACTACTTCTGGTCTTGTGCTTTTGAAATTCATCTCCACAAAGCAGAAAGATTAAAAATGAAACACTAACTGTGTTACTATCTTCAGTAGTTCCTTATCATGTCCAGGATTATGCCCAAGTTACTTAATATGCTGTAGGTACAGCTTCATAATTAAACCTCTGCCTGTGACTACAAACTTGAACCTACATGAGTTAATTGTAAACTATATTTCCTTTCAATATATCAATTTCTATAGGCACAGTCCACATTTTTGTCTCTTGGGAAAACCAACTTACAACAACAAAAGCATATATAATAAACTTGATCTGTATATACCACCCGGTCTAGGAAATGGTCTAAACTTGCCAGTAGAAAGAAGAGTTGGAGTATTTATTAAGCCCCTGTTTACAGTTTTGTTGTCCACTTTAATGGCGACTCCAATAATATGTTTACTTGATTAAAGTTTTGTACCTTCATTAAAGCATTAATTTTTTAAAAAATTAAAGAATGTTAAACATGCTGTATACCATTATCAGTTTAGTAAGCATTTTTAACTTATTAGTATGTGATGTTAGTTTTTCAGGATTCCATGATAAATAAAATGACTAGAAACTCCACTAAAGGTATACGTGGAAACAACAAAGTAAATACCAGAATACAAAGGAAAGCAGAGATGATTGTATTGATGTGCAAGAAAGGCATTAACCAAAATGGAGGGTTGAGAGGAAAAGGGTGAGTGGGATAGCAACCAAAAGCCAGGACAGGAATGATTTCACTGCCAAGGAGATTGATAGCTGCAGGCTACAGGGAGATATTCACCAAATTTAACCCTCAAAGTGATGAGATCAGATTTAGATCTTCCTGCTGAAGTGTAGGGAATGAATTGAAGCTAGCAAAACTAGAGGTCTTAAACTGACAAGAAGACAATCACAGTAGCCCAGAGGAAAACTGTCAGGAATCTAAGATAATGGTCCTTGCAGAGGGAATAGAGAAGAGGCAGATTTAAGAGATATTATAAAATTAAGTTTGGAGATTGATTGGATAGTGTGGAATTTGTGTGAGATGTCTGTAGAGCTTGCCTTTAGGAAGATTTCCAGATACTGAGCTCAATTGATGATTACAAAGATACTGTTTCACTTAACAAGGATAGTGTTCAACAGCAAGAATTAGGGTTTTGGGAGTAAGGTGAGATGATAGTTTTAGGTGTGTTAACTGTGTGATGACTTCACACAACTAGCTACTTGGGTATCCAGCTCATAGAGAGACATATGCTGGAAATAAAATGTTTTAAAAAAGACAAAAAAGAGGCCCAAATAAAGTGATTTATGTCAAGCTCTATCAAGACTTGTTACCCAATCTAATTTTAGTCTCTCCCAAAAGAAGAATTTTAGATCAATCAATCTGGAATTTCCTGGTCAGCATTAAAGATAACCTGCATGGTAGAATACCCCTTGCCTTTCTGTAAGGGAAATACTGTTCTAATCTGAAACAGTGTTTCTTTTCTTTTATTAATAACCTTGTTCCACTCTTTCTGCTAGAAACCTTTCAATTTGTACAACTTCTTGCAGTACCTTTCTACTTGCCAGGAGGGGTGCTGCCAGATTCATGAGTCATTTGCTAAAGTCAATTAGATTTCTAAGTTAAGTTTTGTTTTTTTATCGAGGTAGACATAAAATTGATGGTGCAGAAGAGAATAAATCACTCAAGGAATCAGGTTGAGAGAGATTAGTGAGACAAGGTGGAAACTCTGGCAAGACCAATATCTGAGAGCTGCCGTAAGTAAAGAGAGCTAAAATAGGGCCTCCCCGGTGGCGCAGCGGTTGAGTGCTGGGTTGCAAAGCTGCCCACAGCCTCTGCAGCGCTGGTTTGATCCCCAGCTGCTCCCCGGCCACTGGAGGAGGGTCCCACATGGCGCGCAGACCTCTCCTGCCGCCCGCTGCTCCCCTCAGCAGTGTACTTCAGTCCTTCTGCCTGCTCTGCTCCCCACTCTGGCTCTGGTGAATTCTCTCACCCTCCCGCTCTTCTGACTGTACCCAGTACTTGTATAAATAAATAAATAAATCTTAAAAAAAAAAAAGAGAGAGCTAAAGTACCAAAACAAAACCACAATGTCCCAACTCTGAGATGGACATGGAAATTTTGGCAAAGCTATTTTAGTGAGGTAGCAGTGTTTCAGGATTATGTGAATTGTGTTCCCATCAATTTTATATTGAAGCCCTAAGCCCAAGTACCTGAGAATGTGACTTTGGAGACAGAGTCTTTAAAGAAGTAATGAAATAAAGTGAGGTCATTAGAGTTGGATGTCATCCAATATGACTGTTGATTACATAAGAGCAGAGTAAGACTAAAAGGGAAGAGGTTGTGGAGATGCAGGGAGAAGACTGTCATCTACAAATGAAGAAAAAGGGCCTTTGAGAAAAACAACCTTGCCCATATCTTGATCTCATACTTCTAGACTATAGAATTGTGAGAACTTAAATTTCTGTTGTTTAAGTCACCTGGTCTGTGGTACTTTCTAAAGGGAGCTTTAGCAAACTGATATGGTTGGGGAATTAATAGGAAGTGCAAAAATTGAGACTAGTAGATAAGAGAGTATATAAGACAGGGGTTTCTTTTTATGTTTGTGATTTTATTTTTTAAATAAGAGTCTTGAAGATATTTATATATTGAAGTTAGGGTAGAAGATGAGACACAAGTTCACTTAAGGTCTAGGAGAGTGACTAGTAAAGTACTTGGAGCAAGCTCCAGAGATGGATATTGTTAATAGGCCATAAGGTGTTATAATACACATTCTTTGCTTTCAGGCACAGTCATAAAATATACAATACTATAGTAATATACATGAAAGTAAGTAAAATATTCCATGGAGTACTAGATAGGAGTACTAGACAGCACAGAAAAATCTTTTCTAAAAAGATAAAATGGAAATTTCCACTCAAATAAGTATATGTTCTTGTTTGTATGGTACTAACAAGGTAGGCTATTTATTTTCCAAAAATATAATAGATTAGAATAAGAGGATCACTACTATCAGCAGTAGTAGCACCAAGAGGGTGATTTGGGGATTATGTAAACCCTCAGTCGATTTAGTCAGCCCTCTGTTCCACTGACACCAAGTGACTACTCAATTCCGTAATCATCTTTTCTATAAGCTTTATGCCAAAATTCATTTGGAGGCTTAATCTTATCTGAACTGTAAAACATTACTTATAGTCTTCATTTCTACCATTTTGCATAAACATCAGTTAGTTTTACTGTAGAAATATCATTGTGTTTGATTATGAAATGCTGGCCCTAACTCCACCGGGAAGTAAAAAATATGCAGGGAGGGCCTCCCCGGTGGCGCATCGGTTGAGCGCTGGGCTGTGAAGCTGCCCGCAGCCTCTGCATCGCCGGTTTGATCCCCGGCTACTCCCCGGCCACCGGAGGAGGGTCCCACATGGCGCGCAGACCTGCCGCCCGCAGCAGTGTACTTCGGTCCTTCTGCCTGCTCTTCTCCCTGCTCTGGCTCTGGTGAATTCTCTCACCCTCCCACGCTTCTGACTGTACCCAGTGCTTGTATAAATAAATAAATAATTTAAAAAAAAAATATGCAGGGTTAGCACCACATCGCCTTTGTAAAATGCAAAACATCTGAATTCAGAAACATATCTTTCTCCAGGGTTATAGATAAAAGGACACAGTGGGCTTCCTGTCCAATTTTAGCTTCAAGGTCAGTCCTTGGGCAACTTTCCAGCCTCACCATCTCCTGTCACATCAGTTACTACTTCTGTAGAGAAGCTAACACACTGGTTATAGTGAACACAGACCTGAGAAACGAAAACTAAGTAAAACTATACAATCACATTTCTTTCATCACCAATGACAAAGGTTTCCTTGTTTTGGTATGTTCTAATTAAATTAGAACATGTGTAATACTTTTTAGAAAGGTTATCATCTTCCCCTTAAAAAGGGTGTTTAAAGAAGATAAATCTGGCAGAATGGATAAAGATCACTAATCCAAAATGTTCTCTGAAATTTATGGAAAAGTGATTCTATTCTGGATATATCAGTACAAAAGATATGACAATGTGGTCACATTGAAAAAATGCCAAACAGTGCAGACATTAAAATATTCCATATTCATGGAAGCACATGATCACTGAAATAGGTAGGAACTGATTTACAATATTGTTAGATGCAAAAGCACTGTTACCTTTGTTTATTTAAAAGAACACATAATAGTTTCTCAAACTGGTGGAAGCGACAGCAATAACAAAGAATGTTGTGATAACTGAACAAAGTAGACATTATAAGTGGAAAATGGAACCATTTAATGAAACATTATTTTATCACCTAGTTTATAAATTCTAATTATTATTCTTTATTATACCTTTCTTGGGCCAAGGAAGACAGCAACTAAGGTGATCACTGTTAATACTTTGAATGGGGGCTTGAGTAGGTGGGTGGTTTTAAAGATTTTAGGTGGCAATTTGGGTTGGCATTGTATAGAATAAAAATCACTAAGAAATAATTTTATAACTGCTAATGGGACTTGAGGTAAGTGTAAAAATCCACTCACATTAGGTAAGCAGGCTCTACAAGGGAAATAACTGGAGGAAAACAATGTAAAAATGTATTTTCATCAATAGATTAGCAAAATATGAGCTAAAGTAGCATGGAAGTCATGTACTCATTACTTAAATCACAACTTCAAAGTTTAGTTGTATCAGAACCATAGTTTTTTTTTTACAGTGTTCTTTTAGTTACAGAGTTTAGATATTTGCTTCACATTATAAGGGCTGATGTAGGCTACGATTTATTTTCTAAAGAAATTCATGCTGCACCTCTTCTCTAAATGAATCTTATATTCACATCAAATTCTTATTTTACTGAATTTTTGACATCATTAAACTCATCAAAACAGCTTTTCATCTAAAAGCATTCTGAATAATGTGTTTTCTCCTGTGGAGACTTACTTCATAGACTAGAGAAGCCACGTTCCAGGGTCTGCGGTAGTAGGTCAAGGTATTTCCATCCCGAATTCGATCACATAGTCCATTGAAGTACTCATTATCAAAAGGTGTATTTAGGGGCTCCATCCCTAAAATGTTGATGCTGAGAATAAACAGAATATCATTAGGTGTGAAGATGCCAGGAGCTAATAAAGCAAGATAGTTCTCTGTGGCTAAGGAAAGAGACCTTGGGGTCATGTCCCTGTCACGCAGCGTGTGTGGGATATACTTAGGAACAGAAGCACAAGCCTGTTCACCTGGGCTCAGTGCCTCTGAAAGAAAGCTTTCTAAACTCCCGTAACTGTGGCACTGTGGAGAACACAATGAAGGAAATGCATTGAGTAGGGAGAAGGGACCCTCTGGTTCCTAGAGTCTTAACTCTTGTGCTTTAACTCTTAGCTTATCTCCCTCAGTGAATGGAGAGCTAGTGCTGTCATATCAACTATTTAAGTGATTTCAGAGCAGAGCATCTGGGGCGGGGGGCAGTGGTAATACACCATGTGCGTGGAATTTTTTAATCTATGAACAACACTGGGGTTCTTTCCCTCCCCATTTTCTTTAAACTGCAGGTGTTTTTTTTCCCCAACTGTCTCATTGCTTGTCGAGAACCTTATTCCCTTTAGAGTTATGTTATTCCTCTTATACTTTCCAAGAGGAACACAAAAACTCAGCATCCTACAAGGTGTTTTCAAAAGTTCTACATGCTCCTAGCAAAATATTTTTATTTGGCAAGCCTTAACTCAGACATAGGAATCTTGCTTAGCTTAAAAAAAAGTTAAGGTTGTTTTGTAGGCATGAAAACAATATATGAACAAGAAGCAGTTTGTTCTTTGTGGAGTAGATCTTTGTTAATTGGAAGGAGAGTCATCATTGTCTAGACTGTCTCTGGAATAAATGGCTCCAGTCCAAGAAGGTCAAAATGGAGGTTTGACTCTTACATGCAAACTTTAAGTTGATAGACTAACATAAATTCTTTCATTGCTCTAGATGACATCTCTAATCCCAATGAGCTGGATTATAAATATAGATATTGGTTTCAAGAACAATTTGTCAAAGGGTGTGGATGGTTTACCATAAAACCTTTGTTAATACAAGAAAAATGGAAAGAGTATCCTGTTGCCAAGGGGTTGGTTAAAAACAAAGTCTTTATATAAACAGAACATTTTTAATAGGTTTTAAATCTATAAAGAAAATAAATATTATAGCTCAACTTTAGTGGCAGTCAAGTTGAGAAACCGATCTGTGGATAGCTCCCTCAAGGCCAACTGTCCAGCTGAAAGGAACCACCTCTCACTTCTTGCCCTACCAAGAATACCTTCCTAAAAGCATCCTAAAGTAAGGTCAAAGTCAGACCTAATAGCTTGAATAAGAGAAGAAAAGAGGGCCTCCCTGGTGGTGCAGGTGGTTGAGCGCAGCGCTGTGAAGCTGTCCACAGTCTTGCAGTGTGGGTTCGATCACAGCCGGCCACGGAGATACCCACATGGTGCAGCAGACCTCTTTTGTCTCGCCTGCTGCGCCCCTCAGCGTGTGTTTCGGTCGGTCTGCCTGTTCTGTTCCCCACTCTGTCTCTGGTGAATCCTCTTACCCTCCCTCACATCTGGCCTGTGCCCTGGTTCTTATATGCATAAATAAATAAATCTTTAAAAAAAAGAGAGAGCAGAAAAAGAAACATTATATATCTGGCTTGCTTTCTTAAATAATTTATTCTTCCTGATAGATCAAAATTTTGCCTTCAACTCTTCACCCACCTCTGCATTTACACACTTACCATTGCCTCATTGTGGGCTTATCCCTCACCTTATATGTGGCCACGTGACTGATTTTGTCCAAGGCCACATGGGTGAGAGTGACAGCAGGTCAGCTCAGAGCCTAAGCATGGTGATATCTCCTCGGCTTCCTTATGTTTCCTTGTGACTTGCTTTTGCCTTAATAAGGGGTTCTGCTGGGTGGCCACTGCCCCTTCACAACTACTCCAGTTGCTCCCTGACCCCACTGAGAAGGGGAGCCATGCCATGAGAAACAGAATCACACCAGCAACTGCAGCTGGAAGCAGAGCTGCCAGTCAAGTGCAATCTAGTTCAGGTCACTCCAACCAACCTACAGACATGTGAGCAAAAAACATATATATATATTTTTTAATCACTAAGGTTTTAATCGGTGACACACAACACTGGCAATAAATTATCTGTGTTTTCATCTTAAACAAGGACTCAAATACATCTGTAGTCCATGGTGAATGCTTTCCTTCTTATACCTTAATTAACAGAGACCCTGTACCTTTTTAATTTCAGTAAACAATGACATGAATCTTTGTTCATAACAATGATGAATGAAGCAACTACTGTATCTATGTGTAGTACAGTGCTGTGTTTACAATAAACAGTTGTAATATTAAGATAATACAGTTAGTTAATACAGTCTTTGACCCCATAAAAATTATTTACATTCAAGCTAGGCAGGGAAGACACAATCACCAATTTAAAAGACTAGTCTGAGGAAGGAATTAGGTATGCAAATGAGTAGTACAGGCAAGTGTGTAAGGTTTCCAAGAGGAGGAGATCACTATGGCAGGGTCATAAAAAGAGTTTTGTTTTCTTTAAAGATTTATTTATTTATTCATACAAGAACTATGGAACAGGCCAGAGGTGGGGGGAGTAAGAGGATTCACCAGAGACAGAGTGGGGAACAGAACAGGTAGACTGACTGGAATACACTGCTGAGGGGAGCAGCAGGTGAGACAGGAGAGGTCTGCTGCACCAGGTGGGTAGCTCCCCAGCCGGCAGGGGTCAAGGGGGATCGAACTAGTGCTGCAAAGGCTGAAGACAGTCTCACAGTGCAGTGCTCAAGCCCCTGTGCCACCAGGGAGGCCCAAAAGAGTTTTAGAAGTACGATTTGATTTGGGTTTTGAAGGATGGGACTCAAAGGACATGAGCTGGCTGTAGAAATGTGTGTGGCATGTTTGCATGACTTAGTCTTCAGATTTTCTACTTGTATACACTATAAAAATTTTTGGACAAATTATGCCTCCTTGAACAGTGTTAGTTTGACATTTAAAAATTTTCAATGTAAGCTAAATAGTTAGAAAGGATATAATTTCCCTAATTGCTATATTATATTATTACTTTATAATTCATCTTTAAAAGCTAAATGCAATAGCATATAAATTCTGTACTGCTAGTGGGTATCAAGTCACTATAATATTCATATTTCTATAATAACTGGACATTTTATGTATATTTTTATTATTTTTTAAAATATTATTTAAATAACATTTTTAAAGTTCAGGGCAAAATAAGAATCTATATTTTTATTGCACTTTACCCAAAGACTTTTAACCTAATCTAATGGTATTTTATGCTTGTAAGTTCTGACTCATCACTTTTTCATGTTTTTTTGTAATAAAAGATATTAATTAAAATTTTAAATAGGGCCTCCCCGGTGGTGCAGCGGGTTGAGTGCAGCGTTGTGAAGCTGTCTGCAGTCTCTGCAGCACTTGTTCGATTCCTGGCTGGCCAGGGAGAAACCCACATGGTGGGACAGACCTCTCCTGTCTCACCCGCTGCTCCCCTCAGCAGTGTATTTCGTCAATCTGCCTGTTCTGTTCCCCATTCTGTCTCTGGTGAAACCTCTCACCCTCCCACGCATCTGGCCTGTACCCTGGTTCTTGTATAAAAATAAATAAATCTTAAAAAAAATTAATTTTAAAATCTTAAATATTCTTTGACTCTAGGAACTCTAATTAAAATGTTCTGAATGGAGTTATCATTACTAGCATATATAATAAGCATATTATAATTTTAATAGTTACTAAGCATATGTAAGATTTTATTGTAAATCTATCTCACAATGAAATGAATGGGATTTTTTTTTGAATTATCTCCTGCACCCATGAATTAATATTACTGATTGTTAGAAAGAGACAGAGCTGAGCATCAGTTTCATTCCTACCTTTTATTTTCAAAGATATAAATACTAAGAAAATTTACTCACATAAATAAGTAGATGAGAATAGAAGAAATGTTGTGTCACTCAATTCTGTGTTATCCCCAGTTTTAGGCCAGAAAAAGATCATATACTAGTCTTTCATCAAAAATTATTTTTTGCAATCTGACAATTGATTAAGGCATCTTCCAGTGTTTTGACAAAAAGAACTGGAGACTCCCTGGTGGCCTAGGGGTTAAGTCTCTTGGTTATCACCACCAACTGTGGCCTGAGTTTGATTCTTAACCAGGGAGCTAACCCACACATGGCACGGCAGACCTCTTCTGTCTTGCCCATGGCTCCCCTGAGCAGTGTATTTCAGTAAATCTGCCTGTTCTGCTCCCCACTCTCCCCCCACCCGCCACCCCCACAGCCCTGCATTTCTGGTCTACACTCCAGTTCTATGCAAAAAAAAAAAAAAAAAAAAAGAACTGGAGACCACTTATCTTACAAGGTATTAGAGTCCAATTGAGTATTGATATTCACAGTTGTTTCCTGGCTTTTCCACTCTCTAATGTGAGGTGGATGAGGGACACATTGTTTTGATAAGTGAGAGATGATTCTAAAGGGCAGGTAAGAAAGAATGAACTTGACAACTTCAAGGCTTTATCAGTTTTGTGAAAAAAATATGCACATATGGCATCGAGGGTTTACAATTAGATCAGTTTAGTAATCAACAGATGAGGAAACTGTTACCTTAAAACTTATCCCTTTCTCCTTTGGAAAGTCTTTTGACATCCCATTGTATGCATGCCTCAATTTGAAGGTTAACATTTTATAGAATAACAAATGCATCAGTTGGCTGGGTCCATCTAAAAAGTTACAATGCAGCTGATGCTCAGTCTAAAGCAGGCTAAGAAAGAAATATTTCAAAATCTTGACTTGGTTCCACTACTACAGAGACAGCTAGTCTAGTCTAGAATGAGCCAATTTTGTTCTGCCAAGAAACATGAAAATTTCACATGGATGGAATGTCATCGCCTGGGAAATAAAAAACATATGTCCCTTGGCAGTGTGTAGGGATGCCTGCTTCCACACCTGCATCTAGAACATGGGCAGCTCCAATTTTCCAGGTGAACTCAAGAGAAAGTTGCCTCTATAGACGTTGTGTTATGCTTAGATCACACAAAAAAGTAATTCCCTGCATATTGTCCCTCATTTACAGCTGGCTTGGATTTATTTTTTTCCAATGAATGCAAAATGGATTAGGGATTTCCTTCAATACATCTGGAGAATCTCAGATGTCTACAGAATAACAGGCTGACACATCTGTGATACAACCGAATAATCCTGGTATAAGAATTTAAATGAGATAGTACTTGAAATGAAGTACTTGTGATTTTCATGTATAATAGAGTCTGTATGTGATAGCTGAGGTTTTCCAGATTGGATAATGTAGAAGCAGTTTATAAGCACATCACTCTGATTGGGAAGTTTACTCCTACTACCACTTTCAATGTAGTTCATTGTCCCCATAGAGCAAAGAAGATGTATATATGTATATATATGCCACAAATAAATATGTGACATTAATTGTACTGAGGAATATGATACATGTAATAAAGCATGTTACTTTAAAAACTTAAATGTTAATTACTATTTCATACCACTATACTCTTAATTCAAATAATCGAATAATGTATAACTACTTAAGGAATTTTATTTTCTAAGGTTAGCTTTGCCTTGAAGTTAAGGTATTGATTTATGGGCTCTATAGTAATAAGGGGGAAGTGATAGGGGTGTTGATGAGAATGTGGGTAGGAGAAAGTGAGGTGGCACAGTGGAAAAAGTAAGTTTTATATATGTCAAAGAAACTGGTGTTTTTGTTCGACTTGAAACTAATGAATAAATGAACTTATTTCACTCAGTTCTTACCTGCACAATGAATATAATACCTCCCCTAGTAATCTCACATGATTGTTATAAAAATTTATACAGAAGGAATCTGCAGAAAAGTTCTAAGTATGCAAATGGAAGCAATCAGAAAACAATTGGCTTAATGAAGACTAATTTAGGAATAGGTTGTTGCTTATGAGAATGGAGAATTTAATAAAAATCACTGATGGACTGATTCTATCAAAGCTTACTTCATTTTCCACGTCTTCATCTGACCTCTCCTCAGAGCTGGGACCCCACCCTCTTACTTAGTCCAGAGGACTCAGCCTGCAACTCTCCCCAGTATCAACCCCAACCACCACATAGCATGAGGTATTTAAGGAGTTCTAGCCAGCTCTCTGGGATGCCTCATTATGAAACTCCTGGCAGATGCTATATAACAATTTTTTTTCCCCCTGAACAAAGGAAAGCAGCAGATTATGAATGATTGTTTTTCAGCTAAGCAGCCCAAGATTTCTGTAAGACAAGCTATATATTTGCATTGAGTGAGAGGACACATATAATTCCCTGCTTTAAGTTTTTTTTTTTTTTTTTAGATTACAGAAAACTCTTTCTTGGAATCCAAATAAAGCAGAGTAAAGTAGTAAAGGGCTTTTACCATAGACTCATCATCGCTCTCTGAGGAAAGCAGCACGAATCAGAACTCACGCAGTGACCTGGTTACAAGGTTTTGGACAATTCCCAAACCATTTACTGCCAATTGCTGATTGCCTGCTGAGTTTGGGGTCTAAGACCATCCATTTGACTCAAGGGCCCTACCTTTGGCTAAAGGCCAACAGCACTGTGGTAATATTTGAATGCAACTTGGACAAGATTTTATAAAGTGAATAAAGGATATGTGAAATGCTTTATTTATTGCCTGACTCTTGGTATGCTGGAATTTTTTTCTATTGTGATTTAAAGAAGTAGAAGTCTCATGCTCAGAAAGAAGGGACATCTCTCTATTTTTAGCTAACTCTGATACTGAGATCTTTTCTCGGGAACTGCCCAAAACCTTAGTGTAGGGTTTCTCAACCTCAGTATGACTGACATTTTGGGCCCAGCTGTCCTGTGACGTGTAAACTGTTTAGCATCATTTAGGGCCTTTGCCAGTTGGATCTCAGCAGCGACAATCCACTTTCCTAAGCCTCTCTCCCACTCCCAAGTCTCACAGAAGTGACCACCAAAACCAGATCTAGACAATCTCTCTGGTTGAGAACCACTACTTTAATCCCTCTATCTGCCTTGCTCTAGCCATAACCCTCATCTTTTTTCTGCTCCCCAGCCCCATTCCTAAGACTACAGTTCTAAATCTGAATTTCTTCCAAAGACCTAGTTTCAATCTTACCTGATGTCAACTGACAGTATTTTAGAAAATACTTATTTTTATTAATCAATTAATTCACCTATATATATCTACCCCCCATATTTATCAGGCACCTATTATGAACTAGGCTATGGGATTATAAAAATAAAGAGATACTTTACACAGAGACAGTGAAATAGAGCTACATGCCATCTCTGTTAATATATCACTGGGTGGCGAAACAGTGGCTTTTTTCTTGGGGACAATTTGACAACGAGTTCACCCAAAGTACCTTTACTGAAAACAGGTCAGAACAACTAGTGGAAACTATGGTGTGAACATCCTGAAATGTTCTCTGACTATATAGAACAACAGAACTGAATCTCTCACCATGTCATTCCCAACTCCCAAATACAGATCTCTCTGCAAATGGCCTTTACACAGTATAACCCTGAGTTCTGCACGGCCCAACACTTCTCATCTTACTTTGTCTGACTAGGGCCCCTATGTTTTGTATGGGAAATGTCAGCACCAGAACCAGGAGTTCAACACCATCACCATCTGGCTTCAAAATTGTTTTCTCTATCCTATTCCTCTTGGGTCAACTCCAGAATACTGGAACCTAGAACCTCCCAAGAATTTATAACCAGGTACATATCCAGAAGTTCTAATTTTAAGAGAGACTTTCTGGCAACTCTCAGACACACTACTGGCAATTGAGTTTCAAATGTTAACAAATCATTTCAACATTGTTGTAGTCTACCAAAGCCTCATAAATGAGGTGTTTCATCTCCTACTGGATCCAGAAGTAATTATCTAACATCCTGATAGTCTAGTTCATTCTATAGGTTCCTACTGAGGCCAGGAAGTTTTTCAGTTTTCAAGCTGATAATTATTCAGCACTTAACCTTCTTTCAAGCTCAAATGTAATTCACACAGAATACAACCTCATGGCTAGTCTTTGTACCAACGTAAACCTTTTGGCCATTTTAGCATGACAGGAAAGGTGGAGAAACTTCATACCCATCTTCATCGAGAGAGAGTCAAAAGGAATACAGACCCAAAGCCTGCTGTCCGTGCCAGCTCAGATTCTTCTGCAGCTCTATCACGACAGGGAGGGCGGGGATCATTTTGACAATCATCCTCATCTGAGAAGTCTCCACAGTCATTATCACCATTACATAAAAGTCTCCTCTTTATGCATCTGCCTGCAATCAGAGCCAACAAAAAAAATGTTTAATGTCAAAATTTTCTCTTTTTCTTTCTGAAGTTATCAAGTGTACTTAAATGCTAGAGGAGTCGGAGCAGACATTCATTTGACTTTTTGTGCAAGTAGATTAATGTCCCTTTCTAACTGTCTTGAATCAGCTTTCTTGCTTCTTACTCACGAGTGCACACAGAAACAATGGGAGTGCAAAGATTACCTGTTTCACATTTAAAGTCATTTCCACAGTCATCCTCATCCTCAGCATCTTCACAGACATCAGTGGGCACGCACGACCGTCTGTCCCCCACAGCATCCATGCATCTTTGCCCATTAAATTGTCCAAAGACCTCAACGCTCCTAGAACGAAACTGAACAAAACCAGCTGGAAACACTAGAATTTTCAGTGCCAAAAAGTAATGATGACCTAAAACTGCATCCACATCATTGTAGCCCTCCAAACCCAGGTGAGTCAAAGGATGGAAACTGTAAAAGCAGTGAACAATGGCACCTCCAGAAACTCCTCACGTTCTAGGGTTTGCAGTCTGGTGCACAGAATAGCACCCCCTGCCTCTCATTTAGTATGCCATGCAGCCGTCAGGTTTCCCAGCAGCTTTGCACCATCCATTTAGGCAATTATCTGTCATTCTTGATTTGGAGCTCAACTGTGGGGCTTCCTGCCTGATAGTCATTTTCCTAGAGATGCTGGCAATACAGTTTCCACTCGGGGATATCATTGACAATGAATGCTTACCATTTGTTTGAGGCAAGGATCACATTTTGACCATTCGCTCCAGGGGCTCATCCTGCAGTCTATGGGCAATGGAGGAGTACCACTCTTTCCTTGTGTCTCTGTGGAGTAACTAAAATCAAGGAACATGTCAACGTATAATGACCATTATGTGTATCTATGTATGTTTATAAGACATTTTCACAAACCAGTTTAACTTACTGTTTTTCCTCCTTCCAATCATGTATTTATCTTTACCATATCTCTTAACACTTTAATCACAACCTTTTGGACTTTTCAACTCATCCTTTGGTTTAATTCTTATACTGCATTGTAATTTAATTTTCAACCTAACAACAATAATAATGGTGATGAGGAAAACTTGTCAATTTTCCTGCTTGGTGTTTTACATTGATTATTCTTATGTTTCTCAGTAGTTGATGAAATCATTAAAGTTATAAACCTTGCTTCACACTGTGATCCCCCCTCACTGCCCGAGGAACAATGTCTTGCATTGTTCTCTTGCAAATTTAATTAAGCCAGTCAATCAAGCCTTCTAACAGCAGGCATCCCATCAATCAAGTTTTCCCACCATTGGATTCCATACGTCCTAAGGTCAAAGTCTTACCACTTCACACTCCACTTCAGGACATAGCTCTCATTTTTTCTGAGAGTTGATATGATCAGTTTTGGCACCAATAGCTTTCCCTCCCATCCCAGACCCAAAGTTCTGCAGTAATTTTCTGGCTTTGCACTTTTCCTTCTCTCTGGGTACACCATCTGGACCTCTTCCAGTTGCAACATGAACTTGGATTATAACGTCATTCAGTGACAGAAAAGAACTAAAAAACATAAGTCACCAAATAAGAATCCTATAAACTTCCCATCACACTTCCATGAACTGACACCTATTCTTCTTATAGTGTAGCCTCTTACTCTGGAGAGTTGGCTAAGAAAGGTCTATGACTTCCCAAAAGCTTTAAATCCTAGTTCTTCTTTGAGATACTGATCGCTTGAATGTCTCCTCTATATTAAACTCTGCATCTTACCAGCTCCTTTCCATTTGTGAAATAATAGGTTCAAGTTGTTGACATTTAAGCATAAACAAGCATATGAATGAACAAGTAAAACACTCTACACCCCTTCCAGTCAATTCCCCATGTCCTTTCTGTCCTTCAAAATCACACTTCTTGAGTGATTCCTGGAGTCAAGCATGGAGACCAAATTTCTAGAGTCCTGAAGACAAGACCCCAAAATATGGACTCACTTTCCACCCCACCTTCATTGGTTCAACAGCTGCCAAGAACAAAGGTCATACTCCCCAATACCTGGCAAACAAATGCTGTATTGCATCATGAATTGAGTGTTTCTCTAAGGTACACACAAGTGTATTTGGGGAGAAACTTTGAGAACAAGTTCATGAGCAACTGTCTTCTTATGAGACTAGAGAGACTTTTTGTATCTCTAAAAAGCAGCAGCAGTACCCCAAAAGCATTGACAGGAGACATGTGAAAGAGCCAAAAAGAAGAAAAACTAAAACCCCCTGGGAATTCCTCAGGAAAATGGACTGGAAGAACCATCTGCTTCTGCCAAACTCAAGAAAGAGAAAACCTTTTCCAAGAAAGAGCAATTAGTAGCGATGCTGAAGAGACAGTTGGCTGTGGAGGTCTCCCCAAGAAGAATTTTTCCCTAAAGAGAAACCATCAGTAACCAGGAAGACACAAGAAATAGGGTTGTTTCCAAGAAAAAGAGGAAATTCTCTTTCAATGTGGAGCTATTCGGAAGTGGATCAGAAGAGGCTGGGGGCAGCAAGAAAAGCATGTAGAAGAAAAAGTAAAAGCCCCAAAGCTATCCCAGGAAGACTGAGATGGACATTTCCCTCCTGGGGTATACCCCATGGTGGCATTTCCCGATCTACCCTCTGTACCCCAATACACACACACAGACACATGCACATGCATACACACACATCTTAGAGGAATGGTAGTATGCTTCTGCTTTTTCCCATCCCAGAATAAACCTCGTCTCTTCAGTCTTACATGCCCCTTAGCCACTCTCTGAATTCTCTCATCTTCTTAGCCAAGTTTGCTCTCTGGAAAAGCAGTTTGCACTCTGGTCTCTTGTCCTTCCATTCCCTGCCCAATCCCCCTATGCCAATGGCACTGCTTTGCCACAGTCAGTGATGACTGCTGTGTGGCTCACTTGATTCCTTTCAGGCCTTTCTGAGTGACCTCATAGTGGTCAATGCAGTTGACCACGCTGCTCACTTGGACTGCTGGACATTAGACTTCTTTCATTTCTTCTTTCTCCTCTGTCAGTTTTCCTGCCCTTCTGTGCCTTCACCTCCTCTGTTAGTCTCTGAAATCCTATATTTCCTTAAGATCCTGTCCTTGGAGTTCCCTCTCCCCTCTACACCTACTCTAGGCTTTTGGGCTTCAGGAGAATGACTGGGATATATTTGCAGTCCATTCATTTCTTCTAAATGTTCAACCATTAGATATAACTCCTGATCAGACAATTATTCTTGGATGTTTCACTGTCCTTTGAACTCTGTGTATCACAAAAATTTTATATTTTTCCTTTTTTCTCAATGCTGTTCCTCTTGTAAATGATACCTCTATTTATGTAGTCACCCTAGCCAGAGACCTAGATGATACTTGTCTTTTCCTGAATCCCCCATATTTTATCAGCCACCAAAACCTGTTGTTTACAGTTTTCCAAATGACTTTCAAATCCACCCATCCGTCATCTTTTCCAGACATTTCCGTGGTCTATACTATCCTTGTATTTTTCCTAAATAACAGTCATTTCTTTCTAATCCAGTTTTAAACAAATCATCCAAAGACATTTTTTGAAAGTGCAAATTTGATCATACCATTCCCTAAAGAAAGTTTGTTCAGTAAATGGTGCTGGGAAAACTGGGTCGCTACATGCAAAAGAATGAAGCTTGACCACTACCTCACACCATACACAAAAATCAACTCAAAATGGATTAAAGAACTGGACATAAGTCCTGAAACCATAAAATACATAGAAGGAAATATAGGCGAAACACTACGTGATATTCACATCAAAGACATCTTTACAGACACATCACCCAAAGCAGTGATAGTGAAGGCAAAGATCAACAGCTGGGACTACATCAAATTAAAGAGCTTCTGCACAGCAAAAGAGACAATAACAAAAACAAAGAGAAACCCCACCAACTGGGAGAACATTTTTGCACACAACACTAATGATAAAGGACTGATCACAAAAATCTGCAAAGAGCTGATGAGACTCAACAACAACAAAGAAAATAATCCAGTCAAAAAATGGGCAGAAGAGCTAAAAAGAAACTTCTCTGAAGAGGAAATGCAAATGGCCAATAGGCATATGAAAAAATGTTCAACATCACTTGTCATCAGGGAAATGCAAATCAAAACTACCATGAGATACCATCTTACACCAGTGAGAATGGCACATATTAAAAAAACTAGCAACAACAAATGTTGGCGAGGTTGTGGAGAAAAAGGAACTCTCCTGCACTGCTGGTGGGAGTGCAAACTGGTCCAACCACTATGGAGAGCTGTGTGGAGATTTCTGGACCTACTAAACATAGAGCTTCCATATGATCCAGCAATTCCACTCCTAGGTATTTACCCAAAAGACACAGAAACATCAATTCCAAAGAGCACCTGCACCCCTATGTTTACAGCAGCACTGTTTACAATAGCTAAGCTTTGGAAACAGCCCAAATGTCCAAAAATAGATGACTGGATCAAGAAGATGTGGTACATATATACCATGGAATATTACTCAGCATTCAAAAAAGATAAACACATTCAATTTGCAGCAACATGGATGGCGCTGGAAGGGATCATGCTCAGTGAAATAAGGCAGAAAGAAAAAGAAAAATACCGGATGGTCTCACTCATAGCAGGAATCTAGAAAACTTAAATAAAGGACCAGGAAAATGAATAACTATAAGAAAGTGAAAATCAAAATCAACAAAAAACTATGAACCAGAGACACTTTTTGGGGGGTGGGGGTGGGAGGGGAGGGATTGGGGTAAAAATGGGGGGTTGCAATTGTATGGAGAATATAAAAAATAAAATCTATTATTTAAAAAAAATAAAAATAAAAATACTAAAAAAAAAAAAGAGAAAAAAAAAACTTTTCAGTAACTTCCCATTGCCCTTAAGATGAAGCCCAATTCTTCTAACATGGTATGGTAGGCCGAATAACGGCCACTCCCCCCCCCCCCGCTCCACCCCACCAAAATGGACATATCTATTGCCCCAAATCTGTGATGATGTTAGTTTACATTGTAAAAGGGACTGCAGATATGACTAAGAGAAGATTATTTTGCTTTAACTGGTGGGCCCATTCCAATCACATGAACTCTTAAAAAACAGAAGAGTGGTTCAGAGATATGTAAAACTTGAAGAGGCAGGAGAAATTGAAACCATTAAAACATTAATAATGAGTCCGCCCACTGTTGTTGGCTCTGTAGAAGGAAGGAAGCTGTGAGCCAAGGAATGCAGGCGGCTTCTAGAAGCTGGAAGAAAAAAGGAAATGGATGCTCCCCTAGAGCCTCCAGAGAGGAGCAGAGCCTTGCTGGCGCCTCAATTTCCCCAGTGAGACCCACTTCAGACTTCTGACCTATAGAAATGTAAGATAATAAATTTGTCTCGCTTCTAGTCACTAATTATGGTAATTTGTTACAGCTGTCATAGGAAACTAAGACACAAGGTCTAGAGAGCTTTGCTTGGCCTGTTTCCTTCTTAAATCTTCAATTTCACTTTACGCCACTTAAGCTTCAGCCACATTTACTTGTAATTTCTTAGATAGTGATTTCTCCCTATCTGTTAGGTCTTTAAATCCTATTCACCATATTGATATCCTCTTGTACATATTTTTCCCCCCGAGAACACTTTTTAATTGCCCCATGTAATTTACTTTTCTATGTAGATATTCTTAGAGCATCTTGTTCGTCCCAATGTGATAATGACTTTGGCAATAATATATTTTATTTTAATCAATTTGTTCACACATTTATTCATCATCAAATATTTATTAATAATTTCTGGTTTGCTAAAGCATGGGGGATATAATAATGTGCAAAACAGCAAAATAAAATACAGCAGCCGG